CTCTGAACACAAGTACTGTGTCTCCTTCATGTTCATAATTCCATTAGAATTCTATTTGAATTATTAAAGCATAAGGCTTTAATAGTCATTTTTACAGTTCTTGGTGAATGTATGTCTTTCCGCCTCTTAGCAAGTGTTTGTTGAATGAGTGCTTCTGGTGAAGCAATGATGCAACTTGGCATTGCTGTGTTAGCCTTATGCTGCAGATAAACAAAACAGACCTCTAGCCTCCTGAGCATCCAGCAGCAGTGACATTGGCTTCTGTTTTGTTGTGCCCCTGGAAGCACAGGGATGAGTTGTCATGGATTAGTTGTCAGATATAATACAGCAACTCAACTTTTACCTCTGGACCTTGGCAGCAAGCAGTGGTCAGCCCTGGACAGTATATGTGTTCTGTAACATCCAGATCTTCCTAGCAGCCCCCTTGCACTCACCTCCCAAGGACTGCCCAGGGAACGAAGGGTGATGATATTGATCCCATTTCATATGTGAGGGCAACAGAGGGTACTTGGGCAGCATCTACGAAATCCCCACTGGTGGCCAGAGTCACAGTCCGGACCCTTCCTGCCTTAGCTCCTGTCATGCTTCCTGATGACACCTTCAGGCTTCCTCTGTTCAATTTTATCACCTTCAGGCTTTCCAGATGGTTCCCTAAGTTTTAAGAAGATTCTGCTGCTATATTTAGTACTACTGACCCCCATCTGCCCACACACAGACTGCTAGGAGGATGCCAGGTCAATTCTTCCGGTGAGCATCGGCAGGGTGGCTGGTGACCGTGTGTTCATTGCAGCATTGAGCTACGCATGCCTAGCAAAGGGGACCTAGGAAGGTTGGTGCCTATGGATTACAAAGCAATGAAGAAACCAAGCCCATAAGCCCCAGGACGCAGCTCTGTGGGCTTCTCCCATTGTCCACACCTTCAAGTGCATTCTACCTTGCTTGGGCTGCTGTGCAGGCCAGCTACTCATTGGGCTTCCCATCTTCTACAGACACCTCCAAGCGGTGTCTGTTAACACTGTCCAGAGTGGAGGTGACCCTTCCAAGGAGGTGTTGAAGGAGGGAAGTGAGCATTTGTGAAGTACCTGCATTTACTGGTGTTCTGCTGGGCTCTATTCTTCCATTCTGTTAGCATCATTCTGCAGATAAGCAAGGAACCAGATCTTGTAACACCCTAAGCACTGCAATAGTTGGGCCAGGCTCCATATCTGGCCCTTCTTTTTTCTTTCTTTTTTTTTTTTTTTTTGATGCTGCTGTCTTTATTTTTATTTATTTATTTATTTTCTTTTATTATTCATATGTGCATACAAGGCTTGGATCATTTCTCCCCCCTGCCCCCACCCCCTCCCTTACCACCACTCCGCCCCCTCCCTCTTCCCCCCCTCAATACCCAGCAGAAACTATTTTGCCCTTATTTCTAATTTTGTTGTAGAGAGAGTATAAGCAATAATAGGAAGGAACAAGGGTTTTTGCTGGTTGAGATAAGGATAGCTATACAGGGAGTTGACTCACATTGATTTCCTGTGCGTGTGTGTTACCTTCTAGGTTAATTCTTTTGGATCTAACCTTTTCTCTAGTTCCTGGTCCCCTTTTCCTATTGGCCTCAGTTGCTTTTAAGGTATCTGCTTTAGTTTCTCTGCGTTAAGGGCAACAAATGCTAGCTAGTTTTTAGGTGTCTTACCTATCCTCACCCCTCCCTTGTGTGCTCTCGCTTTTATCATGTGCTCAAAGTCCAGTCCCATTGTTGTGATTGCCCTTGATCTAATGTCCACATATAAGGGTGGCCCTTCTTTTTTCTAACTTCAGTTTTAGCCTTGTACAAAGCTGAGAACGAATGAGGGACAAAGTTTCTTATTTGTCCTCAAACTCAACAGGTGAATCTCTGTTTGAGGGAATGTGGAGGAAGAGACTTGCCAGTTCTCTTACATAAGAGCCAGGCTCAACTTTCAGTCTTTGTGGGATTCCATCACCCCCACCTAACGCAAGTGTGTTAGTCAACTTTGTGTTACTAAAGAAATACCTAAGATGGTCAACTTATAAGTCATAAAGGTTTATTTTGGCTCACGGTTTCCATGCTGGGTTGGCCCCATTGCTTTGGGCTTGTGTGAGGCAGCACATCATGGCAGGAGCACGTAGCCAAACAAAACTGCCTGCCTCCTGGTTGAGGAGCAAAAAAGGAACAGGAAGGTTCCAAGTTCCCAACATCCTCTTTAAGAGCATACCCCCAGTAACTTGAAGATCTCATACTAGTTCTCACCTTCCAAAGACTCCCAGTAGTGCCACAGCTACAGTCCAAGTGATCACTTGGGCCTTTGGGGGCCATTCTAACTATAGCCTCAGGATTGGGCCAACTAAATCCAGGAAGCAGAGGATCTTTGCTAGCTTTCCTGGCTGTTTGCCTATCCTGTGCAGTAGGATTTGGTGTGTGGTGGATTTAAACTTTCTTCATTGGAGTATTTAGAAGCTATAGAAGTTACTCCTTTGCTCCTCAGGAATCATAAGCAAAGTTGCTTGCAGTAGCTAGCCAGACAGACAAAGACAATCTTTTCCAAACACTCATGCATCTCTTAGCTGTGATTCTCAAGAACTCCATTGATTATGATGTGCATTCGTTCTTCCTGGCCGATGACAGCCATCCTGATAGGATGGGTAAGGTGTCAGAATATACTATCTGGCTGAGAGTGATGGGCACCATCACACACTGAGCTCCCATTCAGGGTATCCCAGGTCTGTACAGACATACCATCACCCTTAGTAACAGCGTCCAGGTCCCCAGGACCACGCTACCCATGCCTCAGCACGCGCACAAATATGCTCAAAATCATGGCGAGTACACAGTCAGATGGGGTCCTCCTGCCTCATGGTGCCCAGGGCTGCATGTATCTCAAAACACTGCTCCTCTACTACTGCGCCTCACTTTCAGAAGATCAAACTGACATCCCTAAATAACCTAGTGTATTTCTATCATCTCTGAAGTTTTAGATCTCTCTGGAATCTTCTGTTTTCAGCTCCTAGGTGTCCAACTTTAGATGATCTTCTCACTGTTGGGTGAAGCGCTTTGATTCGCTAACCACTAAACTCAGACTCCAGGAGTCATGTCCTCTCATCAGCAGATGGGATACGGGACACAGCAGGTTGATTTCCTTACTTGTCCCAGTTCTGATCATCACTTAGAAGAGACCTGAACAGAAGCCAGCTCCATGTGCTCACTACCTGCCAGTGGCCTTTCTCAACAAGTGGCAGCATTATCTCCTTTGAAAAGGAGGGGGAAGAAGCCAGAACCATAGAAGTCATCAATATCATCTCTTTTTTTGATGAGAAAACTGAGGCTCCAAATATTAACATATTTTGCCCAAAGTTTTGCACAGCCTAAAGAAGGGAAAGGCAGGATGGACCTCAGAGCTGGCTGCCTGCAGAATCTGGGATAGGGGTTTCTTTTTTCCTTTTGTCATCTTTTGACTGATTAAAAGTAACACAAGGACAAAGTAAAAAAAAAAAACAGGGTGGGGCACGGGACACTTCCTCTGTGTGTTCTGGCCCTAGGAGCGCTGGGCCCTGAAATGACTAATTTCCTCAATCACATGGGAAGAGGTAGAGCTGAGGAAATATAAAATACCTCAGAAGGGCACACTGCAACTTCCTGATCCTGTTACTCTGTGTCACTGCTCAGCAGCAGCCCAGCCAACAGGAGGTATTCTTGGGGCAATGCATGCAAGTTTCTGTGTGTCTTTGTGGCTCCTCCCCCAGTGCCTGCCACAAAGGGAAACACACTAGGCGCCATCCTTCACCCTGCTTTCTCTTCTTAGTGTGTTGTGGAGACAGTTCCATGTCAGAGCTTAGAAACCGGTCTTTTTTTAGGTATTGTCTTGAAACAGGTCTCTGTTTAAATACAACCTTTGGATGCTATCCAGCCCTTTGGTTCTCTTCTCCGGTACTGCTGTGCTGCCCTGGGTCATCCTGGATAGGTTTCTTTGCATGTGTCCCCCCTATGTCTGTAGGAATTCCTATAGGAACCAAGTGTCCCTGATCCTATCCACCACCAGGTATGCCAGAAGACTGGCACTCCCCAAAGGTGATCCAGTATAGACAGCACCTGGGCAGGAGGGACAGTCTTGGGTTTGGAGACTTTCAGCCTTGGTTCCATTGGCCATGTGCGAGCAGAGCCAGCTCTGTGTATATCACAGGCACAGTTGAAAGGAGAGCTGGGCTCCCAGTGAGAGCAAATGGCCCAGTTCTCTCTTCCCCAGTTTCTGCTCCTAAGAGCTGTTGGTTCACAATCCTGCAAGATTGCTTCCTGGCCTCTGCCCCTCTGCCCCCTTCTCCTGGGTTTCTCTTAGCTGTGCTGGCTCCCTCCACTTCCTCTGGACCCTGAGAGTAACTGTGTGTCAGATTCCTTCACATCCTCTCTACTGGTTGTTAGTGTGGCGTGGTAACTGTTTTCCACCTACCAAAGGTATGGTACCACGTCAGACAATAGCAGAGATGTCCACAGACTCCTTGGTGTGATCCTTCGCCTCACAGTGTCAGAATCTTGCTATAGATTTAAAAAAAAGCCTAGCTCACAGCATCCTTATGAGGTAGCTGACAAATTGGTATAGGCTTACAATGTTTTTTGGAATCTGAGCTGAGGAAGCAGACCAGTTGCTACAGACAGGCTGTAGATGGGCCTCGCATGGGATTTAAAATAGCCAGCCTGGGTGACGGCTGCTGATGACAATGTATCATCACCCTTCCAACCAGATGTGGTCCTGTGCACATTACAGCTGTTGTCTCTCACCTTTGAGCCCTACATGAGAGGCCTTACTGTGGCTACCTTTCCATGACTGAAGAAGCTAGTGGCTAGAGGTCAAGACCTGACCCAGTCTGATTCTGTCTGGCTCCCAACCCTTCCCTTCACTGTTCTTTCCAATATGATACCACCCGCATTCAGGATTGCCTGACAGGGCTGGGACTCCTCAGTTGCATCCTTGTTCCCTTGGCTGATGACTTTGTTGTCATTTTAGGACTTCTGTCACGGGCAAGTGATGTGGCCACCCCTTGGTGCCCTGCAGGTGAAGCTGGCTGAGCCCAGGCAGTCCTGCAAGCAGGTGTGCCAGGAGAACCAACTCATCTGTGAACCATCTTTCTTCCAGCACCTCAACAAAGACAAGGACATGCTAAAGTAAGTGCCCTGGGTTTGGGGCATCCCTGCTTCTGTGGACTTTCTGGGACGAGAGGAGAGGCACTGGGTTTCCATTTCCAGGCTGTGGGCTATAAGGAAAAGATGTGGGAGGGGGAGCAGGTTGCAGCATGGCCCCCAGAGAAGCACACCCAGCATTTTTATTGTTCGGTATGATGAAGTCACCTGGATACTGGTGTAGGAGAAGATGTTGTATTGCATAAACAGTGCCACATCTAGGCCTAGACATTGTGGGCGGTGCTCAGGTTGCTAACATTGCACCCAAGAACCAGGGAGAGGCAATGAACAGAGACCACAGGCACTGATGGACCTGCTCCTGAAATCCCAGCAGCAGTCAGGTCCCCAGGTAACCCCCAGAACAGCCCAAGCAGCACAGGGAGCAGGTGACAATCTTCAACCGAGGAGTCAAAAAGGAATGAGACGCAGGGAGAAGGAGCTGGCACAAGACTGCCCACAAGAGATTCCAGGTGCCACCTCCCCCACTCAGAGGCCCATCCTCTTTGCACTTTTGTTGTGTGGTGCAGCCTGGCTCTGCTGGTCCCTCAGCAGCAAGGCAGGTATAGCATTGGAAATGCTGACCAGGGCCACACCCAGGAGAGGCCTTTGCTGTCCCACCATTTCACGTTGTCCTTAGTACTTTTAATGATACTCTTCATTTCCCTTTGCACCAGCATTTGGAGTTTTGGCCTCTGGGACGCAAATTTCCACATGAAGTTTCTTCTGGCTTCTAACTCCTGTTTCCTGTCAGTGCTAACTGTTCTCTCATGCCCGTCCACATTATTACCTAATTATCTAGCATCTTCCCCAAGAGACTTGCCTATAAATAATAAGACACTACTGTCTCACCTCTACATATTCATTTGACAGTTGTGCTAACAATGTGTAAGGAATTGAGTGGGCTCAGGCCCTACCTGTCTCCCATCTGGCTTCACTGTGGTTGCTGTGCATGGTGGTCTGAGCTGGCCTGGTCCCTCTTGTCAGTCTCATTGTGTGAAGCATAGTATAAAGAGAGTGTGGCCTCCAGCACAGGCTGCAGTGACACTCTCCTGAGTAGGGCTCTGGGGGGATGCTGTTTTTTCCCACTCTTTTTATAGGAAGACGTGGTTCTGTCTTAATTCTGCTACTAACACAGAAGCACAGGCTGAACTAGGGAGGCCAGGGTGGTGCCCTGGGAAGCTGCGGCTCTGACATGGATGGAAAGCTGATGACAGCATTGGAAGCTTCCAGCTCTGTAGCATAGATCCTGAACTCCAGGGTTCCGTTTAGGGCTCCCCACCAGTTCCTTTTGCACATAGCTCCAAGAGTAAGGTGGCATTTCAAGAAGCCTAGCACTCATTTGTATTAGAATTCTGAAGTTGCCAGGGCCAGACACACCACTATGCTCAAGGTTCTGTTTGGGTGCAGCTCCTTCTGGAAGAGGAGACACAAGAAGCTGCCTCCTGGGAATGGGACCCACACATGACTCCTGAACAGTGCTGCTTCCTTCTGGGCCTGGGCTCTTGGCCTTGGTACTGTGATTGGAGTCTGGTTCAGAGCTAGTATGGGACCCAAACAGATGGCCCCACACAGGTGGTTACCTCTCCAGGGCAAGGGCCTGGATTACAGGGCCAAGAAGGGCAACCAATAGCTAAGTAGTGGCCAGCTCCCTCTGTTCCATCAGTTTTCTCATCTGCAGAATGGGGGCACCCTGGGTGCTGCTGAGGTGATAATGTACAGCTGTTGCTAAAGCAGAACAATAAAGAAGCCCCTTTTGGAGACAGCTTTGGGCAATACAGTAGCTCAGGCTAGGACTAGAAAAGCCAGTCCCCTGGCCTGACCTCCTCACCTGCCATGCAGAGTCCACATAGCAGAGGACCTTGGTGTGGGGCTGTCCTTCAGCCATGTCCCATGCCACGTGATCACTCACCTTATCCTACTGTAGAAATGCGGCTTCTTACCAGGAGGCTAGAGTGAATGGTAATTTTGCAATAAAATGGTCTGAAATTAAGTCTGTGAGCATTAGAGCCCTACTAAATAACTTGCTCATGCATTTGTAAATACTGGTAATGTTGTAAAACCCCAGCTATCTGGCAGTCTATTGAGTGCCTCCCCAGTGTGGAGGTGATCCTGGTCCATCCATATTCATGGCCAATTAGCAATGAGCATCTCCTGTAAGCCAGGGCTGCTTTTTCTTCTCCATCATGGAGCCCAGTTCTCAGCCAAGCTTGAGCTCCTTTTCAGCCTTTGGGTGTCCAGTAATTACCATATAATATAAATGTAATGTATCACACAAATTGAGCCCTTGGGGTATCCTGTGTTGAATCAGCAAGAATTGGTGATTCTCTGAGCTCCTATTTTTGCAGGGGACAATTAAGTGCTTAAGACACAACCAAAGAGCATGCATGGTTCAGTTGTGACTTGTCCTCTAGACAAGACTCAGCCAAGGCCAGACGAGGCTGAGGGTGGAAGGGACCAGAAGGCAAAGGACTACAGGACATGCCAGAGTCCCTTGGTGCATAGCCCAGAGGAACATGCTTTGACGCTTAGCTACCTCTTGAAGTTAGTTGCATCTTCTATAATTTCAAATTACAATAAGGGCAGTTGCCTGGGAGAGGGGGCGGGGCTTGGCAGGAGGGAAGTAGCTCCAGGGCAGGGGCCAGTGGGAGGAGGAGTGAGACAGAAAGCTGGGACAGCCCTGCATCTTGAAGGGCTGATGTCCTGTGTCCTATATCAAAGAAAGATGGTCCTCTCCCCTGGAGCTGGGCTTCTCAACCTAACCCATGATGAGGGGAAGAAGCAGGCAACACCATGGAAGGGCTTTGCTCTCTCTTCCTCCTTCAAGAGCGTTGTAAATTGTGAACTGAGGGCTGTTTGGCCCCAGAAGCCCCCAAAAGCCCCCAACCCCACCCTATGAGAAAGCTGTCCAGGCCAGCTGGAGAGAGAAGGCGGCTAGGGGAAGGGTGAGGGTGAGAGGGGAACATGCATACTTTGTGGAGTCTCAGAGTAGGCAAGTGTGTATGAGAGTGAGACAGACAAACAGGTATCACATGGATAGGCAGGCACACACAGCCCTGTGTATGTTCTGGAAAGGAAAGAGATCTCTAGAGCTGAGGTCCCTGGGCTGTGGGGCCATCTAATCACAAGTGTTCCCTGGCAGGTACACCTTTCTGCTGACTTTTGCTCCATGTTACACAAGGATGGGCTCTGAGACCAGCACCAGCACACCAATAAAAGGGAGAACCCTCAGGCAGGTCTTCCCTGTGACCCCAGGGGAAGCATGTGCTCTTGGAGCTCTTAGTGAGGATGCACTCACGGGTGTATGCCCATGTGTGCTTGTAGTAAGCAGACTGTGCCCTAGATCCTGAGTTCAGATGACCCCAGGAGCCGGGACAGTAGAGGGGCTTTCCATGGCTCCTAACAGTGCTACCCGTCCACCTGGGGTCTGCAAGTGAGAGAGGTTTCCACGCTCATGGTCAGCAGTGTGCCAGGCAGATGGTCTGAGTAAAGGCACAACAGCCGCTGTACTCCACCCATGTAAATAAATAGCGTAAGCATAAATCTGTGTCCCAAAGTCACGTTCCACATGTAAACTTCTCATTCCAATTGAAGTTCTGAACACAGGTATGAAAGATGTCCTTTTCTCATTTTTGGCCAGTTGGGGTACTCTGTGAAGGACCTGGTAGCCCCCAATCTTAGAAAATCCATGAAACTCCCACTTCCAGCCATCTTCTTTCATGGTCCCAGGGCAGGACACCACTATGTCCCAGCTGCCACCTAGACAAGGGATGGGAAGGTGTTAGGGGAGTGGTAGAGCTCTCCCCCAGTGACTGCAGGGGTGAGGCAGGAGTGGCGCTGCCCTTTAAGAGGCTCCAGGCTTCTCTGGATCTAACAGGCACGTGCCGGAGGTGCTGCTGGCTCTTGGGGGAGGGACCCCCCAGTGAGTGCCAGGTTCCAGAGCACCTGGGTCTTTGGTGTCTGAGCAGGAGCCAGGCTAGCAGTTTGAAAGACACACCAGAAGCTGGGAATTGCAGGATTCACATTGGCAAGGGGAGGCAAGGCCCGGGTGGCCAGCAGGAGTGGGAGAGAGAAAGATGCCTCTCTCTCCCCACTCCCCATCTGGAAGCTCCTCAAAGATGGTCCAGAATCTCAAGTTTCTGTCCTGATCTCCCCCCAAGAGGTGAGACTTCCCACGCACAAAGCAGAATGGATAGTGCCTGCCATGTGATGGTGACGTTGGCAGTGACCATGGTAATCAGGAGCATTAACACCAGTTGACCACTCACTGTGGCAGAGCTGGACTCTGCTAAGTGCTCCATAAGCATTCATTTAATTCCTGCAGTTAAGGATTATTTATCCCCATCTGACTCAGAGAAACTGAGCTTCAGAGATGCTCAGTCATTTGTCCAGGGGCCCTTCCCTGTACTCAGGGGCAGAACTCGTCCTCACCTGGCATCCATGCAGGACACTGAGACCTCTTTATTCTGTATGGGGGAGGGGAATTGGAGTGGGGGAAGCCAGTGCACCCCAGGTGAGAGAGAAAGAGCTGCAGTTTTTTGAGAAAACATCCAGAGTATCCTTACCCCCACCCCTGCCCCAAGCAGTGGCCCCAGTGTGAGGACACAAAGCCACTTGTAGTCTACAGATAGCTTTGGCGCGGGGGACAGGAGCACAAGGCTCAGGAACAGGGCCTGGTTCAGCTGCCATCACATCTTGAAGCCTCACCTCCCTTATCTCCAACCAGGGTTACTGTCACCATTGCCAAAAGGTCATGTAAATCATGGTGAAGATCCCAGAAATCAAGGCTGCTGGGACAGCACCTGATTGCTTTTCAGCAGGAGACTAAGGCTGCTGGGATCATTTTAAGCCTTTAATTTTAAAAATATGCATACTTTTAAAAAGCATTTAAATAATACAGGGCTTTGCCCCACTCTCACTCTTCAGAAGTACCCATTGCTAGGGCTTTAGTGTGCCACCGTCTTGGTTTTGACACTCACTCAGCCACCCATCTCAGGCAGATCACACTGTATACCCTCTTCCATAACCCGCCTTCCCCTGGGACAGCTCTCACACCGCAACCCACACCACTTTTCTCCTTCATTGCTTTTCAGTGGAACTCCAAAAGCACAGAATGGCCATGGTTTATTTAGCTGTTTTCCACTTGGTGGGTTATATGGGTTGTTTCTAGTTTTTCTCCATTGCAGACAGTGCTTCCCTGAGCAGCCCAGCCTCACAGATACTGCTGCATGCCCATCTGGGCGCACACATGCATTTTCAGAGCTGGAATTCCAAAAAGTGGAGAAATATGGGGTCGGAGAGTGAGCACCATTTCATTTCTTAAACTGGAAAACTGAACATGCTTCTGACACCGCAGCAGGTGGGCCAATGGAGCAAATGAGAACGGATTCTGTCCCCTGCATCTCTAGCCTTTCTTTTCCTTTACAGGTACGAGGTGATTTGCCAAAGCTCAGAGATAGCCAAGGATATCCTGGTGCCCTCCTTTGACCCCAAGAGCAAACACTGTGTGTTCCAAGGGGACCTCCTGCTCTTCAGCTGCGCAGGCGCCCACCCCAGGCACCGGAGGATCTGCCCCTGCCGGGACTTCATCAAGGGCCAGGTGGCCCTCTGCAAAGACTGCCTATAGCAGCTGCCTGTCCAGCCCTACACTCATTCTGCTGGGGAAGATGGTGGCTCACTTGGTAGGGCCAGGGGCAGAAGTCATTCAGGGACTCTGGCCAGAGCCTGAACTTTTTGGTCCTGGGTTTGAATTTGGTACTGCTTCTGCGGCCAGCATATCCCAGGAGTTTTCACTAAGCCAAATGAGAGCCTGGCTTCTCCCCGGTATATATATATGAACGTCCTTTCTATTTTGTGAGGAGCAACTGTAATGAGACTGTCCATACAGCTTATCCAGGGCTTAAGAAAAAATGTCTAGAGAGATTGCTATAAATCAAAACAAAACAAGAGGAGGAATTGAGCTGATCGGACAGAACTTCTATTGGGAACATTCCTAAACCCATTAACTTATTTATTTGGGAGGGGGGGGGGAATTGGGAGGGAGAAAAGGGATTGATGTCAGTCTACTTTATTTCCCGCTGTTAATCATTCACCTTCGCAATACTATTGTTCTGTCCACTTGGGGCTAGGTAACCTACTCGAGGGCAGCTATGGGGACCAGCAGATGGCAGCAGAACAAAAGAAAAATCTTGCTTTGGAAACACAGCCAAACTATCCAGGGCATTGTTCTCTTCCTATGTGTGCTTGGCTAGAGGACAGGTAACCCTTTGGCAGGGGGACATGCTGTGATGTCCAGACAGCACAGCCAGAGACAAAAGATAGGCTGCTTTGCAATCAAGAGAGGCCCCTTTCCAGTGTGTCCCCTCCCCACTCACCCACACACCTTGGCCCTAATTCTTGTTAGAATTCCTTTAGGAATGAAATGCAGGATTGTAGAATTTTTGCTTGCTAAACTGTAGTAAATTTGCCCTCCCTCTTTTGCCACTGTAAGGAAGAAAGTAGAGGGAGGTGCAGGACTCAAAGAGCTGCCCAAGGACTTGGAGGTCAGCTCTCTACAGAGCTGAGACTTGGACTGGAGTGATGTCAGTCCATACAAGTTAGTGGCACAACTGGGGCTGGATCCTGACAGGTGGGTATGTCCTATGTGATGTCTGATATCAGGAAATTCCAGGGAATGGGGTTCTTTGTGAACTTGATGTTAACTGGGGGAGCACAAGCAGCTCTGAGTGAATGCTGTGTGCTGTCCTGGCCACTCCCCAGGGTGTGACTTGCAAGGGATGGGAATCTGGTGCTGGTTTTAACTCCAGGCACTGTTATTGTGAGGGGATGAGCAGTGCCATGGATTGGCCCACCAGCAGGTTGGCCTGTGCTCTGCTTTTGTGTGAGTTGCCATTCCTGCTGAAGCTTTGCTTCTGTGCTATGTGTGTACCTTTGTGAGTCTCGTGAAGCCCTGGATACCTCCATGCCAGCAAGAGTGAGCCCTCTTCTACCTCCTGCTGAGCTATCAGCATCTCACCCACCCAGCCCTGGCTGGCCTAGTGGAGCACCTTGGGTGCTTAGGGCTGTACCCTAGAGTTCCCAGTGTTCTATCTGCTGGGGGGAAGAGCAGCCAGGTGGAGCCTCTACCAGGCAGAACGGCTGGGCAAGGTTGATGACTGGCTGGGCCCTCTGAAAGTAAGGGAAAGGAAAAATTCATCTTTGTGAGCATGGAGGCTTTAAGTCTGGGAAGTTAGATCTGCCTGCTTCTTGATTTCTTCCCTGGGGCCTAAGTAATACCAAAGGCACAGCCACATCCCTTCTTTGTAGGCCCTCAGATGGCTGCTCAGTGGGTCTGAATTGTACTGCTAGTCCAAGAGAATGCAAAGGAGTGGGGGAGGAGTAGCCAGGGTCTCTCTCCAGCCCTCAGGCAGCCCCGGAGCACTGACAGGGGTCCATTCAAGGGTGAGAATAGCCTCTGCCAGGGCCCAGACACAAGCACAGCAGAGGTCCAATAGTTGGTGCTGGCGTGTGTGTGTTCATTTCTTTAAGCTTGCTAGTGCAGTTTCCTGCAGTAGGAGAGGAAAGAACTAGCATCCTTGCTGTAAGGAAGGGCTTTTTCCCAATTCCTGGGCTAGCTCCACCCTTTCCTGGGCTCTCCCAGGATGTCCACAGGCTGAAGGTGACAATGCAAGCATTTGATCAGCAGGGGGAGCCTGCGAGTCAAGAGTTATTTCCCATACTCAAGCTAGGTTAACCTGCTTAGCAGAGAGCTGTTTAAACAGCACAGGAATTCTGAAAGCAAAGAAGCCGGACAGCAATGTTGTCCCCGCCTGCAGAAGCTATAGGGATAATTTGCTGGCTTTCCTGAGCCCAGGGCCTCTGCACTTTTGTGTTCCTCTTCAAGATCTCCAGGGTCAGGCAGCCCAGCAGAGCACTTTCTCCCATTTAAAAATTCCTCTTACTTTCCCCCAGTCTGGTATTAGCCGATATTAGCTGGAAGTAAGACCAGTTTCTACTGGTGGAGCTGCTGCTTTGGGGGCAAACAAACCCACAGTTCAGTTGTTAAGGGCATTATCAATAGATAAGGTGGTCCCTGAATGTGCATTGGCTCCCAGGCCTTCTCACACTTGGCCCAAGTATGGTCACTTTTCCTCCAGGGGAAATTGGGATAGGGCGGCTTCTTTCTGCCCAGTGTGTAAAGAAATGAAGGTGTCTCTTATCTGTGGGCTGGGAGCCTGCAGCAGTTTTGCCATCGTTGATCCTCAAAACTAAACTGATTTGTGATTGATGACAATTCCACAGGGAGCGAAATCCTGAATCGGGATTCATGTTTTCCTGTGCTGTAATCATGTCTTGCCTGGTCTTTTGGATTATTTTCCCCCTTAAGTATTTTAAATACTTAAGGGAAAGACATTTATCTAATTTATTAAGAGAAAGGAAGCTCTCCTTGTAAGGCAAACACTTCCTGAAAGGGGAAACACTTTTTTGAATGACAGTAAACACCTCATTTATTCCATGTATGCAATTTGATTTGCACACTTACAAATGGAGACGCTTCTTTGCATTTTTGCTTTGATTGGGTTTTTGTCACTGCTTATTATAATTTGCTTTGTGTCGCTGTGTGTTTGGAAATATTAGTCTTTCTTTGGTGATAGTTGTTTTTCTGATGTGCCTTTTCACTTTTCTTTGGGGTTGGCTTTTGGAGTCTGGATGCTATTGAAGGAAGAAACTGGACTGCATTAGCATTGAGACAGGATAGACCCCTGGGTTACTGTAGATGTTCAAGAAGGGCATGAGAAATTCTCCTCAGGCTACAGTCTGTGTGTCCACATTCACTCCCAGAGTGAATAGAAAGCCATGAGAATGCCAAGGAAAGAGTTGGCTTTCTCCAAACTTGGCCATACCTTTGGGACTGTCTTAGAACAGCTGTTTGCCAGGGTGCTCATGGTCCAGCACACCCTGCCACCCTGACCCTTGCTGAGGTGTGCCCAAGGCAGGAGGCCAGCCCTATGTGAGGGTTCAGCCTCACTGAACTCCTCAAAAGCAATAACCCAGAAATACTTCAACTGGTTAGCATGAAGGGGAGAGACTGTGTACCCCTTTTTTGTTCTTTAGTGAATGAATGTAAGATTTAATTACAGTGAATCAGTAGCTTGGACTGGAGCCACAGTACAACTCACTGGTTGGTAGTGAACACAACATGTGATAGAGCGGACTGAGTGTGTGCGCGCGTGCTTTTTAGACCAGACCAGACCAAGTTGGTTTGCTTACATTGTGTATATAAGTAGACACTGCCACCCTCTCCCATGCCCAAAAATTCTCGATTTAGGGGGAAAAAGTTTATTTTGTTAACGACAGGCTCTGTTGTATGTGTTACTGTCCCAAGCCTGGATTGTGTTATTTATTTAAAAATATTTTAATTTCCATATTGGCTTTATTCTAATCCCATCCATCTCTATGGGGCTGCAGAGCATCCTCAAGTGAGTAGATGGATGGACATATGTGGATTTATACTCATTTAGGAAGCTGGCTGTTTTGTAAAGCTGAGGTAACTTCCTTTCATTGTTGTTGGCTTCAACAAAAAGTGGAAAGCCAAGTTTTTTCATATAGCAAAAGACCAAATTAGCTGTATAGTCTTGGATGCAGAAAAAAATTATCCTAGCTTTCCTAGGACTTAGGGTTTTGTGAGGATTCAATGTTTAGCACAGTGCCTAGCACATGGTAAATGTTAAATATTGTTCGTATTAGCATTTCATAAAACTGGAGAAATAAAGAGCTGAGCTCACTCCCTATCTGTTGATTCAAAATGATAGCTACATGAAAATGTTATTCCAAGTTGATCAAATGTTATAGGAATTACTGGTTTCCAGTGTCCATTTTCTGCACCTTCCCTGCTAGTTGACATTTTAATATATTCCTGAATGCATTGAGTGATTTGAAAATATGCCAGACATCAGTCCCCAGTGCAACTAGGCTGCAAAAATTAACTGGAGTTGGAAAGGGTAAAGGTGACTTTTGGCCACATACTGGCCCTCTCCCCAGAACATTCCAGGGATTTTTTTTTTTTTGAGGAACTTTTTGAGCTAGAAATTAAAAGTTCTCAGACTGTACCCCTTAAAGTTAATACTACTCCTCTGCAATGCAATAATGGAGAATTTCTGTTACTTAAGGAGAAGGAATGACCAACTGAACATACACATTCCCCAGGAAATCCCTTTGCTGCCCCCTGCTGGCCAGGGTGGCCCCCAGCAGCCTGGTTACCATATGTTTCCATTAAATCAAAGGTTAATTCCCACCCCAGACCCCAGAATGAGTCAGCTGAGGCCCTGGGGCAGGGATTTTTGGCCTCTTTCAGAACAGCTCCTCAGACAGCACGTGGTTTTAATGATGTTTTCCAAAATCACGTAGATACCAGTTTACTGTTTAGTTTGTTGAGGATTTAGCCTCTTACTTCCTTGAGGGATTTAAAGTTTTATCTACTGCCCATGTCAGCACAACTCTGGATAGATTGTAGTCATAGAATATGGGAAATTTTCTAGAGTTCAGTGTGTTTTTCAAATTCCTTTGACTTCTCTTCAGCTAGTCTTACAGTTCTATGGATGCAATGATTGACATTTACCCTCTGCAAAGTCTCACTCACTGTCCCAGATTCTGTTGCAAGACTGTCCTTCACCCGACTCTGACCTCCCACAAGTGGGAGGTATGAGCTTATTTGGTGGGCGAGAACACTGTCTGTGGAGGTGGGGGTTGAGTGGTGGGTGTGCAGAGAGCATCCTGGTACTGGAGGTCAAAATGCCTCCCTGGGTGAGTAGTCAGGAGCCTCAGTCAGTCTGCCACTACCGCCAAAGCTGAGGCGGAGCAAAGCAGCATTGTTCTGCCCAGGTATTAACAAGACAGTAGTGCAACGATTGATGCCAAAGGAGATGGTGATGTCCCTTCTACTGTAGTTGCTGTCACAACCTTGATGTTGTTAAGCTAATGGCCCTTTGTGTCTGTGTCTTCAAACAGATCCTGGTCCAGCCGTTTTCTACTGTCACTTGTGGGGTTAAATAGCGGGATTCTGCAGATAAGGTGTCGCTGTCGGAACGTACTGTACTGCCATAGAGAGCACTGCTTTGTTTTCCACTGTTGTAGAGAAAACTAGGGAGAACTTTATTTTTCAATAAACTTTTCTGTGTGACAAGTGGAAGTGATTTTTTTTTGGGGGGGCGCTGGATAAAGACAGGGTCACCTGCAGACAAAGCTTGGCAGCTGTCCAGCTATCTCTTGTGGTTACAAGCACATGGTTGGTAGGAAGGTGTGTTTAGGGTATGGAGGGAAAGAGTTGTATTGTTCAGCCTTCTCCCCTTTATGTCACGTCTGCCCATGCTAAGTTCAGAGCATTCTCGCTACCCTGCGTTCACCTTGAAGGAAGCCGAACTAGAAAATGAACTGCTAGACATTCTTTTTTGTGCTGTTACTGCATCAGACATTTGAGTCTTTCAGCCAGGTGCCTGTGGCTCACACCTGTAATCCTAGCTACTTGGGAGGCTATCGGGAGGATCGCAGTTCAAGGCCAGCCTGAGAAATAGTTCACAAGACTCCATCTCCAAGACAACTAGAGCAAATGGACTGAGGTGTGGCTCAAGTGATAGGGCGCCTGCTTTGCAAATGCAAAGTCCTGAATTCAAATTCCAATACCACCAAAAAAAAAGGTCTTTCAGAATGGGCTAGGAAAACAGCCCTGAGAGGGTTGAATGCCTGGGATCAGTGGACTCTGTGCACTTGCTTAGGCAAGTACTCTGGAAACACAATGAAGGCCACCCCCATGTCCACACGGAGGGGCTCAGTCCTCTCCATCATGGCCTTTCCAAAATGGGGACCTCCAGGTTAATGTCTGCAAAACAGACACCACAGAGTTCATACCATGTGTTTGGTGGGACACAATTCCTAAAAATCCTGAGGAATTGCCGACAGCCTCTGCTTGGGGAATGCTATGTCATGGCAGTGAGAAAGCCTGAAGAACTGCAACCTACGGAATCCTGAGTGAGTTTGCCAGACTTGCTCATATATTTGCTTTTTTTATAGGTAGTATATTAGCATCTCATGGAAGGCTTCTCAGAGTGCCACATTAAAGGAAGTACATTGGACTGAGGGCCTCTGACTTTGTAAGACAGACTACAGGTTGAGTGTCCCTTATCAGTAGAGTTTCAGATTTGGGAATATTGGCATATACATAACGAGATATCTTGGGGCTAGGACCCACGGCTAACCATGAAACTTATTTCTGTGTCATATACACCAAACATATCCACATAACCTGAAGCCAGTTTTATACAATATTTTTAGTACACCTGGGTTCTTACTGTGACTCATCACAAGGCCAGGTGTGACATCTTCTATTCGTGATATCATTGTTAGCACTCAGCATTTTGGATTTCAGATTTTTGGGTCAGAGGTGCTCAACCTGTACGTTCCTTTAAGCAACATGGTGTGAGATCAGCCATCCCTCCGTCCAGGCAAGATCACACTCCAAGAGCCTCCAGCGCTACCCTGTGAATACACAGCAGTCGTGTGGGCCTGTCCCATGGAACCCATCATGACAGTCCAAGTTCACTCCCACCAGGCACAAGCAATGCCTGCCACACCCTTCAGCCATGTGGAAAACCTGCCCAAGATGGACTTTTCCCCAGTGCTGGTGCTGCACGATGACAACTCTCAAACATTGCCTCCCAGTACCATACAAAACAAGTAAAGGTCTTTATTGGCCAGACACTGCTGCCTGGACGGGCAGGACTGGGAGAGGTACAGAACATTGTGGGGCGGGACACGTCTACAGCGTCTACACCTAAGGTTACATAAACTGAGAACATCTTGTTCCTTACAGAGGAGTAAACCGTCTCTCACAGACTGTAATGTACCATTACCACTTAACACAGCATATAGATATATGCATATACAGATTATATAATTATTTATTACAAATAAACTGTAGTTTCACATCTCAAAAATGGATCCTGTTTTTACCTAGATGTGCAGGTTGTGAATATGTGAGAAAGGGTCTTGTGCTTAGGTAGCTCGTCCATGCAAAGCTCACGTATATCACTAGGAACTTTAAAAAATAGAATGGTCTCCTTTTGAACAAATCTGTTTAGATTTAGGATTAGTAAAACAGTATGAAATTAATGAAATACATTGGTAGAAATTAGGACGTGATATACTGATGGGTCTGGGTTTGTAAGAGGATGAGGGGCGTGGGCTTCCCTTAAAATCTGCCAGGAGAGAAGAGACTTTGGAACGATGAAGTGGCTGGAGCCACACAAAATCCTGAGGAAGTGGACCTGGTCAGTTATCTGTTTCAAGCTTAGTCACCACAGAAGGGCTTTCTGCTAAGCAGAGGTCTTATATCCTACCCCTCAAGGACTGTTTTACTGCAGAAAATAGAAAATGTCAGTTCTGGCTTGAGCTGGGGACCATCTGTCTCCCCCCACGGGCATTGTCCTAATGTGTCTGATGGAGTAAGGGACAGGGCAGATCCACCCACCGGGAAGACCTCACCCTGCGACGTCAAACTATATGAAAGAAAACTTCCAAAAAAGAAATGATGTTCCATTACATGGAAACCTCTCATCCTCTTGACCATCTTCGTGTGGGGCAGCCCATGCTGCCCTTTCACTTTCACTCAAACATCTCATAGTGGCGTGTCTGCCTCACCCGTGGCACCATGTCGATGAGGAGTCTGCAAAGAAGACGACAGACATGGTTACTTCAATGCCAGACCGTCTACAGCCGTGGGACAAAAGAACTTAGAAAATACTAAGTTTCCTGAGCCTTTTAAAGCTAATCCACACACCATAAATTTCACGCTTTAGAAATTTAGTATACTCATGAACTTGTGTGATCATCCCTACTATCTCAACTCCAGAACATTTTTATCATCCTATGCTCACTAGCAGTCCCTCCATTCTTCCTCCACTGGTGTCTATGGATTTGCCTACTCTAGAAATTTCACAAAAGGAATCATACACTTACGGGGCCTTTTGTATCTAGCTCCTTTCTCTTGGCATAATTTTGGTGGTCTATCCACGTGGTGATAGTAATACATTTATGGCTGAATAATATTCACTGTATGGACATGCCACATTTATAAATCCATCAGTTACAGATGGTTTTTTGTGCATATTATCTGAATGCTGCTGCTGTGAGCATTCATACACAAGTGTTGGCATAAATGTTTGTCTTCATTCTTCTGGAATATCACCAAGGAAAATGCTGGGTCAAATGGCACCACCATGTTTAATGTTTTGAGGAGCTGCTAAAGTCCTTTTCCAAAGCAGCAGCACCTTCTGGCATTCCCATCAAGAATGTGTGAGGGTCCCAGCCCTTCCCAATCCTCACCAACACTAGTAACCATCTTGGTGGGAGAAGGGAAGTTTTAACATTTATAAGCTCAGTGTTTTGCAGAAATGGTTTTCTCCGCAGCTGACTGTGCAGCCTGGTTACTGGATTTGGATCCAGAGCCAGTAATGCCAGTGCGTCCCTTCTTCAGTGCACACAGGACTCCATGCCGAGGGTGGCTTTTTCCTCAGTGTGACCCTTCTACACTCTCCAAGGCCAGTTCGAGGCCAGGCAAAAAGTTAGTGAGACCCAATTTCCAAAATAATCCAGAGCAAAAAGGGCTGAAGGAGTCACTCAAATGCTTGCCTGGTGAGTAAGCCCTGAGTTCACACTCCACTATTGCTTCCCCACCCCTCAAAAGGCTTAAGTCTCTTATCAGAGTCCCTGTCTTTCTTCTGAGCCCTGCGAGGGGCTTTCCCAGTCACCTGACCTTGGGGTCAGGTTCAAGAAGGGCACAGGTACAAGATGTGACTCCGAGGATCCTGCTCTGTCACTTCCTGGCTGGGGAAGGGAGTGGAAAGAGGGGCAATGATGAAAGCAGGAACATACTTGACCCCGTAGGCAAAGATGGTGAGGCCGATCAGCACGCCTATGCTGCCATCCAGGTACCAGACCGCTGCATCATGCTTGAACACTTCTGCGCTCAGAAGAATGGAGAAACCCATCACACCGCCCACAAGGGAGTTAAACCCTGCAGGAGAAGCAAAGAGACACTGCACCATCGTGCTGAGATCTCTCAGCCATCCAAGTGCCTCCAGCGGAAGTTGTCTGGAAGCTCTCAGAGGTGATAGCTACCACCTGGAACACACACAGGGCTCCTCATTCTCAGCCCAAAGATCACCAGGGGACATCCCTGCTACAGCTGTCATCCCCACGGTCAGTCTCTATCCCCTGCTTCCCCCCTCCCCTTCCTTATGTCCGTGTGACAGGGCACGTATGTGGTTCATTGTTAGTCTCCACCCCACCACCCTTGAATGTGACCTTTTCAAGGAGTAGTTTGGTTTCCTGTTGAATCCACAGAGTCCAGGACAGTGCCTGACCCACAGAAAATCCAAATCCTTGGTGAGTCAAATCTTTTGAATGTCTGCTGGGCCAGGCTCCCAGTGGTATTTTAGACACACACCCGTCTTCTCAGCCCTCTGAAGAGAGATTATGATCCCCATTTTACCAATGAGTGAGCTAAGCAGAGGGAAGTTAAGCCAAGGTTGGCCAGCTAGAGTAGGGCTGGGATTCCCCCCAAAGCTGTGTCCACCTCTGTGGGCTCCTCAAGTAACCTAAGGATTTTCCCAAAAGGCAATGCAAAGTTCTGAATGACTGACTAAAGAAAAGGTAATAAACTAACATACTGATCACCACCTACTTCCACAAGTCACCTCCTCTGGTCCCCACCACTTAGGTAAAAGGGGGTGTGAGGTCTAAGAGTTTTCAAAGGTCACATGGGAAAGGATTGGCTCTGAGAGAGTTCCAGAGTCTGTGCTGAGAGCCACGAGGCTTCTCCCCTGCTTCTTCATCGCAGTGATCCCGAGAGAAGCTTCAGACCCATGTCAGCCTAGTCACCTCTCAGTACCAGGCCCTGGGGTAACACAGTCGTGCTCGTGAATTCCAACCCTCTCATGCCTCCAGGTAGGAATGTTGAGATCAAACACCCTACCAGGTATTCACACAGGGGGAGCATCTATGTGAAGGGCAGAAGAGGAACCAGGTGGGCGGAATGATTTCAGTAAAGCCTGAGTTAGGGTCCTGAGGAGGGGCCATCTACAGGCTGCTGTCCAATAATGAGAACAAGATAAACCCGAAGCCTGGAAGGGCATCTCCAGGACTGACCCATAACTCCCATCATACCTTCCCCTCCAATTCTCAGATGATAATGGACCTTGTTCTTCTCGGAGCACACAGGCTTAGACAATACCTCCGTCTTTGATCTTGACCTTTCCCCTCAAACGCACAAGCATCTCAAGCCAAAGGTGTACAAAACAAGCCCTCCAGCAGCCATCTCTGTATGTGCTGCAGTGGCCACAAATCTAAAAGCTCATCCATAGGACTTGACCCAAAAATCTAATTCATCAGGTAATTCTGGCCAGTTGTTACATCACAACCAACCTGAAGTTTCTTCCTTACTCTGCTCCCACACTTTTCCAACCTGTCTTAGTCAGCACCGAACTCTTCTGGACCCCTGACCAACCTCTGTACCAGTTTCCCCTCCTGATCTCAATGCTCTACACCCACACTCTGTCCCCCATACAGCCACCCCCCCTAAGTTCTTTCCTCCCTCACTCCACCCCCACAGCCACCTCACAGGGCCCTAGAACCTACTGAGACCCCTCTTCCTCAGAACTTCCCAGACTCTATGCCTCCTTCCCTGCCCAGAAAGCTCAGCCCCTAGGAACCCACAAGTGCTTCCTTTCTACCCACTGTCACACCTACCTCCTCAGCCTCATTGTGGCTCTGTTTCTCTCCAGGACTGTTCTCCACCTAACAGATAACCTTTGCTGTTTTCTTGTTTTGTTTTACCTTTTTACCACCTGTCCCCCACCAGAAACCTAAGTTTAAGAACAGGAACTTTGTCCCATTCCTTGCTGTGTACCAGTTACAGAACAAGGCCTGCCATTTGTCAGGGCTACAGATGATCCCTGCATCAATTAATGAATTGCCAAATGGAGAGAGGGAGGAAGAGAAGGTGTGGATCATGACCTCAGCCCTTTGGAGAGAGAAGGAGCCACGCCTTGCCTGGCTCTGATAGAAGCCAGGTGGTGCTTAGAAGATACAAGAGCCTGAAGTTCCCCAGACAGCCACTAGGTGTCCACTCAGCTCCACCAAGACAGCCCCACTCTGCAAGTCAGCACCAAGGACAGCCCAGCACCAATGTCTGCCAGCAGGTGCTCCCTGATGACAGCGGAGGAGCTGAGGCACACCTCCTTCACTTACATCTTCTAAGAGGGGACTGCTGGGCTCACCTTTTATGACTCATTCAGCTTCACCTTTTAGGAACCTGCACAAGAACACTAGAACACATATGCAAAGACTGCGGACTGAATCCAAGTCAGTCCCTCAGAATTTTCAATCTTCCTGGACATAGGCATCCTGCAGGAAGAGCCCAAGCCCCAGCATAGCCCACCATCCCCGCCCCTCTGGACACAGGCTGTGGTGGTCATTCACCATGGCTGGGCCCTGAGCCCTCAGCTACAATGTTACAGTTGTTCCAAAAATAAACTCGGTTATTATTGTTTTAATGCATAGAATGGCACAAAATAATGGCTGGGGCCATCTTGAATAGAGGCTCCACCAGCCTGGCTTTAATCATTAGATCAGAATCTGTGTAATTAAGCATATTAATTTCATGCAGAATATTCTGATAAGGTTTTCATATGCTTGAAACATGGTCGTCAGAGGGTCTTCCCATCTCTCTCTGGTTGTCCCTGAGGACTGGACAGAAGCTGGGCCCTGGGCCCTGGTTCAGTATCTTCTTCCTGCAGTACCCATGTTCTTTCTTAGGTAATTTGTAGTACTCATATGTTGTACAAAACAGTTTTACTTTTAATAGTACCAAGCAAGCTTCGTCCTGGTCCTGAGAGCACCTATGTGTGTTGATTGCATGTCAGCACCAAATTGGACAAGATCTGCATGGGCGAGCCTGAATGTGCCTTTGGCCTCCACCACCCACCTCCTGCTGTCACTTTTCCTGGAAGAGCTAAGGGGATGCCCAAAACAAAGGACCTGGCAGAGCCAGCAGGACCCAGTTCCCACAGGGCTGCCCCAGTCCACCAGGTGACAGGCAAGTGTGCCCTGTTTCCCACAGGAGACACTGAGCTTGCTTCTTCTCTTCTCTTGAGGAGAAGGTGCCTGGCCAGGTCCTGGTCAGGGTAGCAGTCACACGATGTGCATTACAGAGCCTTCCCCAACAGAGCCGCTAACACTAATGACAGCCAAGGCTCCGATCCCCACACCACCTGTGGAGATCACTAAAGAGCACCAATCAATGAATGAAAGCCCACAGCCCAGACAACACAATTTGCAGGAGGCTGTAATTACTGTCCTGTATTTTCCCCTAAACGTCTGCTCCTAGGAGCCAGGGGCCCCTGCTATACCAGGCTGCGGGCGGGTGCTTGTTCCCTCCCTGGATCAAGTGCACTCTCTACCACTTTCCCTCCCACTTCAAACCCCAAAGCCATCCATCACCCTCCCACCACAGACATCCAGAGGACTCTTAGAACGTATCAATCATGTCACCCCCATCTGTTTAAATATTTGGTAAAATATCCATACTCGTGACCTGCTGGAATTTGCCCTTGGTCATGCCTCCACACCTCTCTCCCAAGACAGGACTCCCTCTGCCTGGAGAAGGGCTCTTCCCTGCTTTTATCTGTTTGTGGGACAATTCTTTGTAATTTCCCCTTCCTCCTAGTTAAGAGTACACTGGAAATGGCACTCTCCGCTTGGGTGTGGGTGAGAATCAACCTTATTTTATTGGAAAAACATACTTAGCATGGGGTTCTCCCCTGAATACCGTACAGAGACGGGAAATGATGAGAAGCCAGAAGTTCAGTGGAGCCTGAATACAAATTTGGACATGGAAAGACTATAATGTTAGGGAAAACCCAGCAGAATGGGCAGAAGACCTATAGTTTCAGAGAGACAGGGGCCATGCCCCATGGTTATAGTGGGTCTGGGGGGGCAGCTGGACCCACACTCAGGCTTCTAATTAAAGATAGGCCAGCACTATCCTCACTCTGGGAGCTCAGAGCACCATCTGCCTCTGCCTATGCTGTCCCTGACTCCCAGGCATGCCTGCCCTGCCCCATGTGGTCTACATAATGAGACATGAGGAAGACATGGTTTACCCAGACCTCTGCTCTGTCCTGCCCTAAGGATCTGGGCCAGAGCTGTGTCCTCCAGAGACACAGAAAGGGACCCTGATAGTAACTGGAAAATCCAAATCCAAACACCTGACTGCCCATTCAGCCTTGAGGTCCAGTCCCAGGTCCCCTGTGCTGTTCATCTCTGCAGAAAGGAATCTGACGCCATGGGAGGCATTTACTTTTCATAAACAACAATCCACAAAAATCACAAGAACAGGTGAACATCTTGACTCAAATTCTGGGTCTGCCCCAGAGAGAAAAGGGAACCTAGATCAGCCCAGATCTGCAAAACCCTATTAGGCTCCACTTGATATGAGCTGCCTCTAATTCCATGGTGTCTTTGTGGGCAACATACAGCCCAGAAGGCTGGCCTGTGGGTTCCACTTACTAAATTGCAAGTGCTTCAGCTCAGCTCTGGCAGAAAGAGCTATCCACTTATCCCACAAGGGTTATTTCAATAAACTGAAACTCTACTTTGGAGACCAGAGAAGGATGCCTTCCAGCAACAGGGAAGACACCCAAAAGGTGGATTCTGCAGAAAGAGCTGGTTTCCCCAGCTCACGTGGCACCTCACAAAGTACCAGGCACAGGAGAGCTCTGTAAGCCCTGTGGATCTGGTGGTTGACAGAATTCCCCTTTCCTGAAGCTTGGGGTTTAGGAAGGCCATGACAGGGGCTCTTAGGTCGCTGGAGTTGCCTGGGGCTGGTTGCCTGCTCCACACAGAGGTGCCTTAGTGTTGCTTAAAAGCAGAGAAAAGAACAGAAAGCTCAGTCTGGGAAGCCAGCTCGTTCACTATTTAAATGGTTTTCACTATTTAAAAAAAAAAAAAAAAAAGCTTTTGCTTCAAGTGGGCAAGTAGCTAAAAGTGGCCCAAACTTATCTTCCCCGTCTATGAGCCCAGCCCTAGAGATCAGGCACACTGGCCTTACTCACCATCAGTTATGAGTGCCCTGCTGGTCAGAACCTTCCCCAGCATAAACTTCAACACAGCCAGGACGCTGCAAAGAATTCCACTTAAAATGGAGACACTGAACAGGAAATCATCCTAGAAGAGAAAATTCCAGATTTCAACAGTTCAGCTCCTGCTAGAGCAGGTCATCTGCAAACCTCTTGCCTTAAAGATCAGCTTTGTTCTAAGTATAAATAATCACTCAGGTATGCTGCCACCAGATGGGGATATACCTCATGCTTTCATTTATCTGTGTCTCTGGGATTTAGAAAAGATAATCAAAAACACATATCCAGATTTATATTTACTTACAAAATCATTATGTATTTTTTTTCCTGTAGGAGATTCACGTTCTCACTTTTCTGCTAAAATGAGTGACAATCATTGATCGATAACAGAATTGGTCAGAATGCTAAGTATGGTGTCTAAATAGAATTTTCCACAGATAATTCACAAAGTAGTTGGTTGAGAATTTTGGAACACATCACTAGCCTAAGAATGCTTTCATGCAAAGACTACAGAACTAGTCACAAGGTCAAGTCTGGCTGGAGCTAAAAGATGTATTTTTAACCCCTAATTCACACAATTGAGATTTCAAATATAGTTTTCATGGTGGAAAAATGACATCTAAAAATATAGTCTGTACTGACACAATCTTAACACCTCCTGGAAGTTGTTACCTTACGTTTGCAAGCAAATGAGTGAGTCACATATTCAAAGCCAGCACTGCTACCTCCTGACACAGGCCCACGGAGCTCTTCTGCTTTGAGCTCCTATGTGTCACTTCCATGAGACATAGCCTCCAGGTTCTCCAGGACTAAGATGCAACCTCCAGCAGAAATCCTATATGTCATAATATATCCACAAAGAAGCAGAATTCTCCTTAAGCATCTTATTAATAACTTCACTAACCTAGTGAAGAAGGAGACAGCCTTTGTCTCTGGGCTTAAAACTGAATGGTCATTTGAAAAATCATCCCAATGGAGACAGGATATCTGCACAGCATCAAAGTGTCTCCCACAAAATACAGATCAATGGCAGTGGCAGTTTTAACAACTATGCTCACAAATTCTTTGCTAGTCCTTCCTATAGGATGTGGGGATCAGCACCCCTGTCCCTTGAACATGGGCTGCATGACTCAAATTGAACAAACAGAGTATGGAAAGGGAAAAATCATAATTTTATAGTGGAGAAACCAGCAGATAGCTCCTATCCAGGTGATCAAGGTTAACAAACATCACCAAAGTAAGGGGGAGTTTTCAAAACACCTGACCACTACTCCTTCACACGTTAAGGTCATGCAAGACAAGGGATAACCAAGAAACTGTCACAAACTGGAGACAAAGAAGATGTGACAGCTAAGTGCAACAGGGTATCCTGGGCCAGACCCAGGAACAGAAAAAGGTCATCAGTGGAAAAACTGGGGAAATCAAACTGAGGAGATGCTTTGTTAGCATGTTGTGAACTTCTGCTATGGATGCATGGGCCATAGTCACATGAGATATTAACGTAGAACAGGCTGAAGAGATATGGAAGCCCTCTGCATCCGCTCCCAGCTCTTCTATAAAGCTAAAATTATTTCTATTTAGTATTTTTTTCAAAATTATCAGTAAGGACTGTTCAAATCTAGACTCTTGGTGAATCTGGTGTCCCTCTAAGCAGGAGTCAAAGCAGGGGCTGCCACAATGGGGTAGGCTAGATCCAGAACCCCCAAGTCATAGCTCCCTTTGTGAAGGACACAGTCTAATTACAGGAGATGACATCCACAGAGAATCAGATGAGCACGATGCCAGGGTCTGAATGCCTGTGCCCCACCGCCTTAAAATTCATGTGCCCAGTCCTAATCCCCAGTGCGATGGTACTTAGAGGATGGCCTTTGGGAGGTGATGAAGTCATGGACATGGAACCTTTAGGAATAGGATTAGTGATCTCCCCAATAGATGAGACCCTACAGAACCCCTTTGCCCCTTTCTCACGTAGGGCATAGTAAGAAAACAGCATTCTATGAACCAGGAATCAGACCCTCACCAGATAAACTATAGGAAATAAATTCCCTTGTTTATAAGCCACCTGGTCTATGGTACTTTGTTACATCTAGCTGATCAGACTAAGACACAATAGTAAGGAACCACACATGAGTATAATCCCAGGTGGTGACTGGACTCAGAGAGCACAGGTTGGGAGACTGAGATAGCTGACTAAGTGAATAAGGTCCCCTGAGGCCCCAAAACCAGAGGCTGAGTTCACTTTCCTCACCCCAGGCTGGGAGCCTTTCTAGTTCCTTTCAGTTTCCCCCCGCCCCCGGCCAGCCCTCATCCCTAAATTTCCAGAGGTGGAAAAAGTCTGTGTTCACCCTTTGGGCAGATGGAGGGTCCTTCCTTCCCCCCAAATACCACCCCTGGGTGCTATCCCAAGGATCTCACTGCTCAACGGAGGCCTGCTGACCATCCTGTTGGCTGTACCTGCAGGCCTCTGCTCAAGACTGCATTTCTCCTTATGGGGAAATGTACTTGAACTCTTGAATCTCTGTTCTGTCTCCTGAATGTGGAAATGGGACATCTCTACAGCTCCTGCTAAGCTGCTGATGTACAGTAAAGGCAGTGCTTGTTGTTAATGGGTCCAAACACACTGTACACATGCTTACTTGTCCTACCACATGTCAAATTAAGGACTAAATAAGCGTTGTTATAAAAGGAAAGGGAAAGTATCCACAGTAAAAAGTAAAGAAAGGTCAGAAAGACTATGATCAGGATCCACAGCAGCTTACCAGGGGGACGGGTGTGGAGCCCCTTCCTTATTCTGAGAAGTTACATCATAGAGAAGCTATCCATGACTGGGTGGCCCTGAGGTCCACTCCTGGAGCACAGGGTATGGGTTCCTGGCATAATGAAGTGGAAGCATTGGGCAGTGGTTAAAATGAGCCCCACTAAAAGCTGTGTGATCCTGGGCAGGTCACTTAACTCTCCTTCTACTTCATCCTCTGCAAGATGGAAAAAAAAAAAAAAAAAGAGCCCTACTGTCCATGGTGGCCTCATACTGTGTGCACAGAGCTCATCTGGAACGTTTCTCAGAATTTTCTTCCTAAATACCTCCAAGTTGGCCCCACAGACATCTGTGAGTCAGGTGGAAGACAGAACGGCAGGGGCCATTGGTCCCTGAAGGTCAAGAAGGCACCTGGTGCTGCTGCTGCTTAGCTGAGTTTGCTGACAGGCAGACTCACCCTCGTTGGAGGGGAGGTAGGGCAGCAGCGAGGTCACAACTCTTCCGCCACTCCCACAGGGTCCTCTGTGCAGCTGCCCTGAGTCCGGAGCCAGGCCTGTGGCAGCTTCAGGGCAAGAGGTGTCATCCAGCTTCCTCACAGTTCACCAAGGTTATGGAGGCCAATTCAGGGTAGTCAGAGGTAAATCATACAAGGATGCCTAATCTATGACCTTGTAATCATACTCCATGTCTCTAAACCTAGTACTCCATGAAAACAGGGACACCCATTTCCTGTTACCTATTCAGTTCCCACTGTTACCGTGCTTAGTTTCTATAATTTCTCCCAGTTGAATCTTAAACAATAGCATATTAGGACAAAAATGTTTAAGAAAATTAGCCACTCATTCAGAGCCAAGGATAAACTCACATTAAAGGCAAACTGTACATAAATTACATCCATGCTAGCAAAGCTATAAAAGATTGATCTGCTCAACTATATAAAAATTTAAACAGATGTGGGAGAAAGGTCACCTTCAAATACAAACTATAAGGAACATCCTGAATAGTTAATCTTAATACACACTTAAGAGCTCATAGAAGCCTATAAAAAACCAACAAAATAATAAAAAGAGAATCAAGGACACAAGCAAAAGACAGTTAAAAAGAAAATAAATTTTAAACCTATGAAAGATGCTCAAACTCACTTACAAAAGAAATGAAAAATCAAAGTATAGCTAGAGATCATTTTTACCTAACAAAAAGTATTAGAAGGTTAAGGGAAAACAGGTTCTCACACAATTCTGGTGTTGGTACCAATCTGTATAGACAAAACTTGGGCAATTTCTCTAAAAAAAGAATGAATATATTTACCTTTTGACCAAGCCCTCTATGAATTTATCTTGTTATTATACACTTATGAAAATGATGGCATATACCACAGTATTCACTCAGAGAACTGAAAAGAAAATAGAAAAAGATGCATTCCAACACTTCTAAGTAATTGACAGTACAAATCCACAGAGAATCAGTACGCATATAGAAGACTTCAGCAACACTATCAAGCAACCCCACCTGACACCTATGGAACCCCTTCCATACAGGAACAGGATGCACATTCTTTTCAAATGCATGTGGAATATTCATCAATGTATATCACATTCTGTGCCATAAAACATATCTGAACCAACAAAAAATTAAAACCATACAAAACAGAATTTCTGACAACAGTGGAATTAACAGAATGATATCTAGAATATCCTCATATTTTAAAATTAAACAAAATAAAACTTATTAAAAGCTCATGATTCAAAGAATAAATCACCAGGCACATAAGAAATATTGTGGAAGTACAAGAAAATGAAAGGGCAGCATATTAAAATTAGTGAAATACAGCAAAAGCAGTGTTTAGAAGGAAGTTTATACTAAATAATGTATAAGAAAATATTTAAAAGCCCTAAAATCAATGCTCTAAGATTTCCTTTTATCAAAGGATTAAAAGAAAGTCAAATTAATTCCAAAATAAAGGTCAGAAATCAATGAAACATAGCTGGAGGTAGAGCTCAAAGGTAAAGTGTGTGCTTAGCACGTACAAGGTACATTTGATCCTCAGCATATGCATGCGTGCACACACACAAACAAACATAGAAAAAAACAGAAATCCACAAAACAAAAAATGGTACTTTATAACCATCAATACCATTGGATCTAGGATTTATTTCCAAAAAGACAAAGAGAGAGAGAATACAAGTTACCAACATCAGGAATGAAAGAAGATGGTGGCTACAGATCCAGTATAATCTATTAAGAGCATAAGGAAATAAAGTAACCAACTCTGTGCCAATAAATTTGACAACTCAGATAAAATAGACAAATCAAAGCTCACTCAAGAAAAAGCA